GTGCGACACCTCCTTGCGACACCTCGCGATGTCGTGTGTTTATGCCGCTTTGCTGCCATATGGTGGCATGTCACTTTTCGATCTGATTGTCTTATGCCTGTAAGTGGTGTGTCTTCTGGTCTGCTCTTCAAGGACATATGACATGTCTTTCACACATGCCAGGGCAGAGCCATGCCATCAAAGAGGATGCAATCTTTGGCGCATACAACTCTGCTGTTATCACTTTTCATGGCAGGCAAAAAAAGTGGTTGCATTCGGGTCACCTGTATCAAACCACTTCACTTGCATGCTATGTATTTGGATAACGCTTTTTGTTTTTTTCCGTGTTTTTGAGGCAGCGTTGAAAGGTTTCGCTGCGTTCGCTGACCGCTCCGCTGCCACCGAAGAAGCCTCGCAGATAGCAACCACTTTAGCCAAGACTCCTTGGCATCACACAATAGTTTTTGACAGGAGCGCTGACACCGACCCAATTTCATCATTCCACCGGGTTGATCTTGAGCCAGACTACTTTCTAACACCAAAACCCTTATTTAAAAAACACAGTTCAACCTCAATAGAAGGACACATTCCTTATGCAGGGTTAGGTCGTGGTTGCTCTGCGTTTGCTCTCATGGCTGGCGTGGCAGCTGCCTTTTTCAGGACACCCCGGCATGCTGTGCATGTTGTTTGTTGTCCATCCAGCGTTGGCTCCAATTAAGGAGAAGACGCTGGAAAACCCTCAACAATACAGTTTCTGAGTGGCATGCTATAGCGATGCGCTTCACAGATCCTAAAAAACTTTCATCCATAAAGCACGATGCGTGCCGCGGGTTCAAAAGAACTCTCCGCGTGAAAAGGGCCAACTCCTCAAGAGCATGGTGTTTGGGCCTCATGCGCCACCTCCACACTCTAGCGTTCCTAGACTCCTGCATCAAAGCCTGCCATCGTAGCAGGTGTTCAAAAATCAACTCACATATCTCATCGCCGTCGCGCTGGTGCAAGAGGACGTCATTAACGTCCATCATGTGGATTGCGCGGGTCAAGCACCAAAGACATAGGGCGCCAGCTTCTAGGCGAGGAGCCTCAGGCGACTTCAGCGTGCGCAATTGGATTGGGTGGGCTCAAGCCAAGTGCATGCAAACATGAAAAACTGTTGAACAAGAGAGGGCACTTGTGTTGCGTTTGCAAACTCAACCGACTTGCGCGTAAGATACCACAGCACCATCTTTATGTGGGATGCTTTGAACATAGTCCCTAATGCAGGATAACTGCTCGGATCATCCAGCCCTGTGTTTCTTGCGGTAAATAAGATCCTTCGAACACTGATCCTTAGATGCGCGCACGCTTTGCACATGCAGGTGCGCACGCAGGCACAAGTACGTTGAGCACACACGCACACAGAGTTTTAGAGGCTTCCACACACAGGTTTCTAGGTCGAGAGTCCTCTCCTGACGAAAAACCTTGTGCATGTCGATGCTGAAAGAGCGCAGCAAAGTGTTCACTGGGGTAGTAGAAGTATCGCCCAACACTCCATGGTCGAGGAAGTCACCCAGAAGGCTAGGGATCAGATCCCGGGCCGTCCCCAAGTAAACAACATGCATCAAATCATGTAAACAAGTAGGAAGGGTCCAACCTGGTATTGCGCTCCAAGGAGACAACTCCCTACACGTCCGTCTGTAGGTCGCATCATCTATCACTGTGAGATGGCGAACCTGGCCAGGTCTAAAATCCTGGTAGGAGAGCAGTGGGTCGTGGCGATAAACAGGGTTTTGGGCCATGCAGCTTTCGCAGATGAATCTGCATCTGTAGTTTCGATCGAACAGATTGGTTTCGGCTCACGCTTTGCCATCATACCGGGTGCATAGATAGGCAGCCCTGTCAACACATATTACGCAAACATGCTTTGTTTCTTGACACATCACATCCAAAAAGAAATGGGCCAGCCTCCACCCAGCGGCGAGAGGTTTCCCTTTTAGAGCAGCCCTCAGGCTTTTTGGGTGAAATTCTTCACCAGCAAATCCAACTCTTGGGAAAACCCCCGCCGCTGCGCACTCCATGGACCATCCCAAAAGCTTGGCAACAGCTCGATACACTTCTTTTTGAACCTGCCAAAAACATACACTAGTCTGCGCACACAGTGGTTCTTGCAGATGACCCTGCGCCTCTTCATCATCCCGCATGGAATGATATGGTAAGATCACATTGGGGAATTTGCACTCATATACCTTGAAGCGCCGGGAGACAGTATACGACGCACTAAAAGGATTTGACAAGTCAACCTGTTATAGAGCACAGCCTAGAAACATCACCAGCTCCCAGGATCGAAGAACAACTCCAAACAATGTATTCGGAGTTTGTGTAAAATTCAGCACCGTCGACGTGAAATGTGAATGGGATCACTCCTTGTCCCAACTCCGACGTTTGTCATCCCCAAACAGACCGGAAACTTTTGATACAAATATGCTAAGCTGGAAACTCTCCCTCGCACCATTGTTGTTCTCACAAGCCCCACGAAATGCCGGGTGATTCATCCACTCGGGCAGCTGAAGACAATGGTCCCATAACTCCTTCGCCGCAGCGCAGCTGCGACCACCCAACATAGACTTGTCAAACTGCGCCGGGGCAAGTGAAGATCGACAGTGAGACACGAACGACCCATACTGACACCTGTCACGTTTTGTTTCAAGCGCAAACACCAAATAGCCTGCTCTCGACCTGACATAGCCAGCGCATGTAAGATCTCGTGGGGGAGGAGTGTTGGGATCCACACATCTTGCGTGTGCACACTGTTGGTGACCTAGGATATCATAGCCACACATGTACATATCCATACATGAAAACAAGATGAAGCTTTGACAGTTGCCGCTTACAATTGAGCTGAAGACTGCCAAATGAAGTTTCATGTGGTACACTTCGATTTGGATCCCGTGCAAACCAGCAAGCCACCTATGCAAATCCCTTTCTTCGGATGATGTATTCCGACCGCAGGATCCCAAGGATGCAAAGGCCGCGATGGCCTGTGGTGGTTCGATGCCCAGTTCCAAAGAGTCGTCAACCTGGGATTGAGCAATTGAAACACATGTGTGAATATTCGCTCTTCCACTGCCGATGAGTCCTTAGAGATTGCCATCTCAAACCAATGAAGATCAAAGGGGTTTCTCAAACTGCTTGTTGTTTTTATTTTTTAATGCAAGTATGAGTCGAATAAATTGTTCGGCAGTCTTGCTCTTCTTGCACGTTTCAAGCCGTGGCCTTCGCTTGGAAAACCTGAGACAGACTGTGGGGGTTGACGGCATACATGCTGTGCAAAGGTTGAGACCTGAACGTGGAGATCTTCTTCAGGCCGGTACCTGGTCGAAGCTCTCACGAGTTTCCGTGAACCTCTACAAACATCGATCCGAAGTTGGGGCGAAGTGAGCGCGTTTATTTTCTTTTCGTGAGGCAGGCTCCACGATCTAGAGAGCACGCCATCGACTGAACTAAGTAACTTGCAGGCAGTTCCCCATGCCTGAGATACCCCCTTCTTTTTTGAAGAGGCTCTTAAAGATACCCTATTCACTGAGAGGCGACAGCCTTGGTCTTCGCCTTCGCCTTCGCTTTGCCCTTGGCCTTTTTGTTGAGGCCGGCCAAAAGGGATTTGGCAGCTGCCTGGGAGTAAGGGTTCACAGCCTGACACCACTATACTATTTCCCAAATACTCAATGACACCACTATACTATTTCCCAAATACTCAATACTATAAAAATATAACATGTTCGCTTAAACGGTATAAGGTACTTTGGCTTTCTCAAGCCACTTGAGGTGGGGTTCCACCTTGTCAACAGCCTTCTGGATCAACTTGGGGTCGTTACACGCGCGGTGCTTGAGGTCCGTGTAGTCCTCAAAGCTCTTCTCCAAAGCTTTGCTGGTCTCCAAAAGCCTTGTGGTCAGTTCACCACCATACTCAACCGCTTTCAAGCTTATGGCCAGCTTTCGAGATTCCCCAGCTTCAGACAGGGCAGACTTCATGGTGTCGGCAGCTTTCCTGGGTCATGATTCACCCTATCCAACCCCGCAAAACCCTATCTCCCACAAACCTATGTCTAAAGCCTATGAGGTTCAAAACTTGTTGAGCAAACAGTCGAGGGTCTCTTCTGCAGACTTTGGCTTCACCTCAACAGCCTCTTGGTCATCCCTCTTCTTGGGCAACTTAGACTTGACCACCTGCCCACCACTCACACCTTGCCACACAGCCTTCACTCCTTCGCCGCCCACAGATTGGATGTCTGGAAGCACTCCAGAAGCCAAAGGAGCCCCGTCCTGGGTGAGATCGGCCAGGGTTTGTGCATCTGGGGTTGCCTTGGCCTTCATGGTCATCGCAGACGAAGTGAGGTTGTCGTGGGTGACGGTGGCGCCATCGTTGGCATAGAAGTAGATTTCCTGGAGGTTTGACAATCCAAATAAGTCTGTAAGTTTGACAATCCTGGAGGTTTGATTTCCTGTTTTTCTGGAGGTTTGACAGGGAGAGAGGTTTGACGTGTTTATATTATAGCCACCATGCTTACTTATAAAACTTGGCTTGGATTCTCAGCTCCTCTTCGTCGTTGGGGAAATCTGGGTCCCAGTAGTACATGTTCTTTGCTTGAAGCGCAGCGCACAGCTTGTCGACCTTCTCGGCCGGGTAGCACTGCAAAAGCTCGCGCTTCTTCTTCCCCCTCCGCCCCACGCGAACCCTGTTGACATTCTCAACCTTTCTCTCCATCGCAAGCGCCACCCTCAGCATACAATCTACAGTGGTAAAGCCACCAGAAAACAACACTAGCCTATAAACCCAAAATATCCCGATACCCAACCCTATACTTTCTTTGGCCGAAAAATATATCTTTGTGAAACATAGCCGGGAAACTCGTTGAGGTTCTTACTGTTGTCGAGCCAGGCCTGGAATAGGTCCAGTTTGTCTCGCTGCAAGTGGTCAGACAAAGCCACAGGAAACTTCTTCCTGTTCTGGCATTCCCGCGTGAATGTAGCCCACTCTTTAGGCATGGTCTTGCCTTACATGGCAAACACCCACAACCTACCATAACCTTATTTGAATTCGCCTATTTTTTAGAAGACCAGTCCTCAAACAACCTGAAAGAAAACGCAACACTGAAAATAACCACGCCACTGTTTCTAACAGACATTTCCTCAGACTTTTTGGAAGCATCATTGATCTCCTCCGCTTTGTCCTCGCCCTCAGGGTCTGTCAACATCTCCCCATCAAGATCATCTTCACCATCACCTTCCTCGAGCTCCTCAGACTCTGCGTGCATCTCCACCGCCGAAGAAGACTCAGAACTAGAGTCTTCCTCATCTCCATCATCACTTCCATCCTCACCCTCACCATCGTTTTCTCCCTCGCCCTCATGCTCGCTTTCTTCTTCTTCTTCCTCTTCTTCTTCCACATCACTTGGCGCACCGGTCTCAGGGACACACAAGGCATCAATGAGAGAGTCGAGCTCACTTGGGGTCAGATTGTCTAGACCAGCATCATCACCTTCCTCAATCATCGCATCACCTGGCTCCTCATTTTCCTCCTCCTTTTCCTCCTCCTTTTCTTCCTTTTCTTCCTTTTCCTCCTCCACGTCCACCTTGTCCTTGCGCTTCTTGTCCTTCTCGCTCTTCTTGTTTTTCTTCCCTGTCTCATTGCCCTTCTGCTTCTTGCGGCAGCTCTCGTCAGGGCTGTCTTTGTGCTCATGCTTCCGTTTCTTTTCCTTCCCTTTCTCCTTATCCTCCACCTTCTCTGTCTCTTTCCCCTTCACCTGGCCCTTCACCTTCTGCTTGGCCACCTTTTCCTTCTCCTTCTCCTTCTCCTTCTCCTTCTCTCGCTTCTTCACCATCTCCTTTGCCTCTGCCTTTGCCTCCTTCTCTTTCTCCTCCTCCCTTGCCTTCTTCGCTTTCCTGCGCTCTTCCTTCACACGCTCCTTTTCCTTCTCCATCTCCTTCTCTTTCTCTCGCTTCTCTGTCTGATCTTCTTTATGCTTCTTCACACTCTTGTCTTTCTCTTTCTTCTCACCCTTTCTCTTGCCTTCCTTTGTCTTCTCCACACGCTGCTCGTTCCTCCTGTTCTTGTCCATCGCTGCGTCCACGGTTTCCTGAACCGGAGACTTGATCGAAAGACGCCCTTGAATAGAAGGTGTGCGGCATGCCGCACCAGAAGTAGCAGTGGTTGACGATGAACCTGGGCTCCCATCTGGTGTGGTCTTGGTGACAAACCTCCGCCGTGTCGGTGGTGGAGCCACCTTCGGTTGCCTCCCAGCTGCGCTATCCTTCCCCATGAGGCCTGCGTTGACAGCCTATACCCCACACGGAAGCTTGCAAAACCAAAATGCCTCATGGTGAAGCGAAATGTGGAATACAATCGACGGCTGTCACTAGAATACAATCGCGATGGCAACTGATTCCACTCTTTATACTATCAGCTGCAGAAGATTGAGGGGGATAGACTATAGGGATGCACCCAAATACAAACGACGGCTGTTTACGCCAATCGGCGGCTGATCGACGGACAATCGACGGCTGAGCTATGCACGATTTCGGATGATTTTTTCCATTGACACTCGATCCCTCTGGGGCACTTGTCTCGCTCAAGTTCTTCAGGACAAATCGTGGCATTTTCCACCTGGCAGCCGCGAATTGGAGGCGCAACAGCTCCAGCCCCTCGCGAATGGGAGTCAAGGGAAGGCTTCCAGGATCGAACATGGACAAACCTATATAGCCATGAGAAGTGGGCCCTTTTGAGATTCCCCATCGCAGTCCATGGGCATTATGCCAGAAGACTTTACATGGACAAAAGCGAATTTAGTAACATGGCCCTGCAACATATTTCACGCTGCGACAGCACATGGTGCATACACCACCAGCTGCAACTCAGCTAGTAAGGTAATTGAACACTGGTTCCAAGTTGGCATCATCTAGCCATTTCTTCAGGCGCCAGGTGAGCTTAGGGTGCTCAGGGTCTTGCGCATCCTTGGCCTCCTTCAGGAACTTGCGAGCTTGGCTCTTGGTCTCAGCCTGGTGACGACGTCGAAGGCGTGCCAGAGCACGGCCAAACCTGAGATGTGGGCTGGGGGTTTCAAGTTCTATGGCTTGGATAAACATACTTCGTTCCCCAATGCGCTTAGATAACCAACTAGCATGGTTCTTCACGACCAGAAAATATGGGATTGTGTTGGGAGCACTTGGGTCACCTATACACAGAAACACCTGATACGAAAAGCAACTAAACCTGTAGGGCGACTGTGGTGTGTAAGCTTGAGAAGCTTTCAACCCTGATGCTCCAGCCACTCTGGCAACTCCTTTCTTATCCACATACTTCCGAACCAAAGGAAGACTCTCTGTAGATGGCCGGGGCAGTCTGATAGGTTTGAAGTCATAGAGGCCTTCGATCCAGCCGTGGCCTGCCAGTCGCTTGCAACCCACACGTTGGCAAGAGGAGTAGGGCTTGGGTTTGCAAAAACACTTTGGTCAATAGCCCCGATTGAAACAAAAGTGTTTGATCCATAAATTGTTTCTCAACCCCCGACCACTGTAGAGCCATGTAGGCTTTTGTGAAGGAGCAGCGAAGTCACCCATCTTCACTGTTTTCCTCCATGTCCTCACAACCTTGAACAAATATTGCGTGGCAGGGTGGTACTCCAAGACTGAATTTTGGGGCTGCTCTAGCACCCAATTGATGCCCCTGCTGGCGCACAGCAGCACAAGTATGACTACCCGCGCAACCATACAGTTTCCATCAGCAACGCAGCGAACCGATGGATCCCCCAAAGGCTTGGTCCGGCTTCGTCCTGTGGTTGAAGACGACCTTGGCAAAGCGAGGGGTCTCAGGCATGCGCTGCATGCAACCAGTTCTCCGGGCACAGCAACAAAGATTTTGTTGGTTATCTTCTTTGGGCTTCGGACAGCTTCTATGGAGATTCGATAAAATCTAATCAGAGAGGGGCAAATGGTATTGATGGACTCTTTAAAGGTTTTACTTCAAATTCCATTTATTGATTTCACCCTCACTGTAGGTGCAGTGTAGCGCACAAATAAAACCTACGAGGTTCAGTGTAGCGGCAGCCAAACCCAACTCGAGCAGACAGGGGCCAGGGTGCAACTGCCACCTGGCCGAATCTGAAGTACCTGAAAGACTGCGTGCACAAAGCCAGCTGGAGACAGGATATCCATCATCTTGTCATCATAGTCATAATCGAACACTGAGCATCGGTGATTGTTCTCCTAGCAGTTCTTTCAGGCACACACACAGGTACGTGCTTGGGAGCGCCATACATAGTCTTGGACAGGTTTCAAACCATTTTCATAGATGAGGGTTGTAGTTTTTTTGAAAGCAACGCACACAATAACTATGAAGGCCCTCAAACACAGGGGCCCTCAAAACAAACGACTCCTTCATCTCCGCCAGTGTAACCTGCATCTTCCCTGAGAAGAACTCTGCATGGTCGAGCTGCTGCCAGCGCAAACCAGGAAAGCCAAAGACCAGGGCTGCCAGCAAAGCGACCACCTCGAAGGGGTGAAGGGTTAGCTCTGTATGCGACCACCGATATTTCAGATCCCCCAAAACCCTTCTACAACAACACAGACCTACAGTATACTAGATAGGTCGGTTTTCCTAGACTCTTTGAAGACCACGCACCTTCGGCGTCTTCAGCTTAAGCAACCCCAGCATGGTCCACCTTCGATGCTTCGCACATAGGCCATTGCCTTGGAACTCTGAACCTAAGGCTTTCGGAGCAGACCTCTTCATAGCCTTCACATTCTTGGCGCGGTGCTCGGACGCTCTATAGGCTTTTCCCATGGTGTGACGCGCAAGTTCCTGTGAAAACCTTTGGAACCTTTGGGCCTTGAGCGCTATTGAGAAGAAGCCGAACACATTCCAGAAAAAAAGACAGCTTTTCTGAGATTCCAAACCCTAGTTCTTTTCAAGAATTGAAGTCTGGCGCATGGTAGCAAAGCTGTCAAGTTAGAAACTCACCGTGATGAAAATAGAACACGGCAGAAGAGTGAATTCGATGCCAGCCTTCACCGTCCATGAAAAGCAAGCAATTTGAGGCCCTTGGAGCATGCACCTTCCGCAGTTTGGAGGACTGCGATCTCGGGAGAACGAGGCGTACGACATTTCTGCTGTTACTTCACCTTTTCAACGCTAGGCATTTGAGACCAAACAACATGTTCGCGCCTCCATCCACAAAACCCCAAGATGGAAGCAGGAAGCCGGCCCAAGTTCGTTTGAGATGCGTGATGTTTCTGATAAGGTGCTCATAAATATGAACTTAGTGTTCGTATACGTTTCATAATGACATCACACCTCTTTCAGGCGTCTACGAAAGATATGTTTCCGAGATTGTTTGCCATACAAAAGAAGTGTTTGAAAGAAACTGCTGAACACTTGTTCTCGTGAGAAAACGAGATGGACTTGGACCAGCTTGAAATCAGGGAACAAGTTGAACTCAGCTTCGGAGGAAGGCTTCAATATCCATGTTTGTGAAAAATGAAGCCTGCCAATCCAGAGCTTGTGATAAACACATTCCAATAGCAAGACTGCCATTGCGTTTTGACTCTTAGCCGAGAATGCGACGATAAACCCCAGATGCATCGTAGACACCCCAGCACCTCTTTCTTTCTTTTCTTAAGCAGCAACCCCGATATAAACATATATAAACAACATATATAAATTATATAAACATTATTTTGTGTAGCAACCATAGGGCGAGATGTGACGGGCTGATGCACTTGCAGCAGAATGGCCGGAAGCGCAGCGATTCTACCGCGCTCCTTATGACAAACTTGCTGCACCCAAAGGATTCTACGGTTCATTGAATCCTCAATGAACGAACCCCATCAAAACTAACATTGCCAAGGAACACTTCAACAAAGGTTCACTGAATCCTCGATGAAAGAACCCAATCCAAACATATCCAAACTAACATTGCCAAGGAACACTTTCAAAAACCAACACTACGAGAGCACGGCAAAGCACACGGCTCGGCTAAAGCCGGAACGTTCCTTAGCGAGATCCCAAGCTTTCTGAGGATCACCAACTCTGAGCCAGCTGATGTGGCCTTTCGGCCCAGGGGCGCCTGGCGCCACTTTCTTCACAAAAAAAGCTTCCTGTCGAAGCAACACCTCGACCACACCATGCTCTGCACAACCCAGAGTGTAGGAATGCTGTCCGCGATTTTCGCGCCCTAGGTCCGGATATGCCTCTTCAGGCAAAAGAGACAAGTCATAGCCACAAAAAACATTTGCGGCTCCCCCCACAACCATGGGCTGCGGATCAGGAACACGCTCGACAGGCTGCTTCGCTTTCAAACCCTTCGCCTTGTGCTGGCGCTTGAAACTAGCAACTTTACCACTAGACTTGTTCTTACCCTTGCCTTTCACTTTCTTGGTGGCCTTCTTCGTGCGTCGTCCATCTGGTGCCTCGGCACACATGCGAAAAGTAATGCCACCGCTATTGTTGACCATCAAATCAGAAGAATGCTGCATCGCATCACCCTTGACAATTGAACTACATCCCTACGCGGCTTGGCCACATCCACCTTCGGAGGAGTTTCGACCAAAGGGAATCCCCAGAAAGCTGGCCTCTCACACCGTGGAGTCGTGAGTGTCGAAGGGGGGCAAGCCGATGAAGCTTCCAAGGCCTCCAACGAAGACTGAACACAAAAAACAATGTGTTGCATTGACAATTGAGGAAAATGAGGTTGGCGATCCCCAGCCTTACAGTGCATGTTGTTGCTGGCTTCCACCAGCATGGATTCAAACTCCCCTGGACCAGCAAGCGATGGCATAGAAGCCGAGTCATCGGAGTCAGACTCTTCACCGTCACTGCCACCATCACCGCGAGGGGTTGGCAATGAAGTTGGAGACATCTCAGCATCTCGACCATCCAAAGCCTCAAACTCAATGGGCTTGCTCCTGTGAAGACGAGGGCGTTCGCTGCTTGTGTGCTGACCCAAAATGAGAGTAGCGGAACTGGAGCTCTCAGGGCTGTCCACCGATTCAGACCTCGCAATCGGTCTGCAAAGCCCAGGTGCAGGTGTGCTTGAACTGGCCAGGCCATTCCTGGCACGCTCAAGTGCAATTTTCTCTTGGAAGGTCCCAACTTTGAACTGCTCCCAATACTTCTTCAGTTTTTCTTTCTTGGTCGAACACTTGCGTGTGGGCTGAGCAACGCCTTCAGCAAAGGGGGGATTGTCCATCTCATCATCTGAACCCACAGATTCTGACTCTTCATGGCCAGACTCTGACTCACACACAGCCGCATGAGATGGTGGATTCCTGGCAGCTGGCGCACCCTCATCAGAAGATGTTGGATCGCTGCCAGCTTCATCTCCACTGTCATGAGGCAATGCTCCCTCATCAGAAGATGGATCACTGGCGGCTTCATCCAATTCAGATTTCAATTCCACCTTGACCGCTCCCTCATCAGAAGATGGCGGATCACAGGCGGCTTCATCCACTTCAGATTCCACTTCCTCGTTGACCGCTCCCTCATCAGAAGATGGTGGATCGCTGGCAGCTTCATCCACTCCAGAACCAAATTCTGCATGCTCATCGCCACCATCGTTGGCCAGCGGAGGAGCTTCCTCATCATCGCCGTCCACCGGCACAAAGTCGACATAGTTGCCACCCTGCGCAAGGTGACACTCAAAACACTATGACCCTTTGAGACTTCACAACTGCATGCTGCCGAACTTCTCTGACAGAAACAAACAAATGCAAATGAACAACCCTGATCCGGTCCCGACGACGGCGTGGATTGGGAGATCTCCGAAGCAGTGACTTCAGCTCAGCAACTCTATCATTGGTGCTGTCATTCGGGCCTCAGCTCCAAAAAACAGAAGGACATTTCATTGGAATTTATTGGAATCGCACTTGACAGGAAGCTTGAAGGTGTCTTGCTTTGGATGCAAATGAGAAACTGTTCCGGAAAAGATGTCGAAGCGATCCCATGCAACGTTTCAAACGTTTGGCTTCGAGCCCTGCAGCAGCTGCTTTCGACTGACCCGCCACAGGCACAAGGAGATGACCATCCATAGCCTTGTCCAAGGCCAGCAGGCCATCTGCTATGTAGAATGCACTTGGGACCTGCCAACATTCAAACCAAGCAAACCTATCATAGGTATAGAATGCACTTGTGACCTGCCAAAAGTCACATCAAACAGACCTCTCAAATACACGGCGCCAAGCCAAGCCTTGTCCGGGTTCTCTCGACAAAGGGGCTCCAACCAAAAGTAGTTATTGGACAGATCCTGAAGCAGAGCTGAATACTGCCAATCTCTGGCAGCGTCAGCAAAGTCAGACAGTTTTCAACACCAATATATATATATATATCAATATATATATAATATTGAAACTTGAACACCCAACCCTCCTGAACACTTGGGGCAGACAGCTCCGAGGACAAAACCACCAAACGCGTTCCAGCTGGAAGCCGGTCCCGCAAGACCAAGTCAAGAACAGTGTGTGGAAGAATCGCACGCCAGGCGTCGCGAAGAGTCACCTGAGCATCGAACCCCGTGAGTTCCAGGACCAAGACATGCGTGCGCAATTTCGAATCCCTCATGATTCCTGACCGCGATGGATTCTTTTTGCAGCTCACCATTTCCATGTGCAAAATATGTTCCAAACAACTTGCAACTGATTGATTCAAAAAAAGCTGCCACTTCTCCTTCGGTCCAAGAAATTCTTCCCGGTCCTTGGAAATAGTGCGAGTTAGAGGAAACCATGTGCCTCAACTCCTCATGATATGCACGACATTTTTGTTTGCAAGAGAGTTTCTCACCGATCTCCACTGTGGTTTGTCCACCATAACCAATGCATCCCCAGCCAAAGCCATGAGGCACAAGAGGGATTTCACACCAAGACTAGACTCACTGAAACAGCCGGCACTGCTGCGAAGAACTCGCTTTCTGTGCTCGAAAACTTAAAAAAAGAACGATCCTGCGCAGGACAGCTCTGACCGCGTGGTGAGGTGCCATGAGACTCGGACTGTCTCAGGAAAAATATGTATATATATATACACAAGAATAAATAAATACCATAGAGGATGATAGTTAGAATATATATACATATATGTTTCAAACCGACATAAACAACATCACCTGCGCATGAACTGCAGCGCCCGGGTTTCACAGACTCGTTTCACGAAGCGATGGCCGGTCGAATGAAATGGAGAGACCGCGAATTTGTTTCCCTGTGAGTTTCAAAACCTGTTTGTTTTTACAACGCATGTACCACACTCAAGATTGAACATGCGCCTGCGTGCTCCATATAACCGGCTTGCCCAAGCCAAGGTGTGTGTGTGTGTGTAATTTTCATTCTATCCTAGCTGCGTTGCAGAGGTCTGACAGGCTGCCAGCTGGCTGCAAAGACCGAGTTGTAGCTCACAGTTCACGAATTGTGCAGAATATT